GCATTGAAATTTCTGAATTTCAATACGGCCGTATTGAACTCAATACGACCGTATTGAAGTTCAAAAATTTCAATACGGCCGTATTGCTTCTGTAGGCCGTATTGCGCCTATTCCCTATAAATATGACGTCAATTGGACGTCATTCCACACTTTTTCACATAGTTTTAACCCTCTCCTTGAGTATTCTGGGGTTTTTGAGCAGTGTTCTGCCCTAGAAATCACTCGGAGAGTTGATCCGACGAAGTTCTTGAGCCCCGAGCCATTTTGCTTGAGGATCGAACCTAGTCGAAGGGAAATCCTCCGGATTTCCATAGTTAAAAGTTTTTAGGAAGGAGCGAGCGAGCTTGTAGAGCGAGGGAACGCCAAAAAGCTTCCCAGTTTTACTCAATATATAAAAGCACGCTTCAAGAGGTTTCTTCTTAAATCCTTCCTTTTACTGCTTTCTGTGTGCATATTTAAACTGTCATCATGTAGATAGTTAATTTATAATCGCTTATAATAAATAGGGGTAATTTAGTAATTTTACGCTGTTATTTTAGAAATTAATCTGTCATAGGGAACCCGAAAGGGGCGCTGTGGGGTGCTAACACCTTCCCCACGCGTAACCGACTCCCTTACCCAACTCTGGTTGTAATGGCCAAAGTTGATTTATAAAATCAATTGCCTTATCCCTTTTTCCAATGTTTTGAGTAAAACATTGGTGGCGACTCCACGAACCCTCCTTTTGCGAAAACCACTAATCCATGGAGGGTCCCGCTTGGGATTAATATGGATTGGTGAGACATTTAATAAATAAATTGGATAAGATCGACAAGGTCTCAGTTTGAGAACAAGTCGTTCTAATAATCCAATACATTTTCAAAACTAAAATAAAAGCGAGCTCGACCGTCTTCGCGACCGCCGAGGCCCGTTTCGGGCCGGTGGCGACATCGATCTATACAAAGATGAGTGGAAGGTTGTCACAGACACATGACATAAGGTTGAGTATATGTGGTGCAAGGACATCCCACCATGGAAACCTAGTATGCCTATGCCTTCGGATGCCTCTTCCGAAGATGCACGGTCCAAATCACACACATCCGAGACTATTTCTGCTAAACCAATATCTGTGTCTGCCCTCCATCTACCCCTGAACTAGCACAGCAATATGTCTCAGTTGAGGAATTCAACAGGTTTAGGACTGACCTAGACAACAAGTTTGTCAGCTTGTTTAATCTGATCGCATCCAAGCTTCCCAAGGATCCCCCTCCTTCTTGAGGATCATATTCAGGGAAGATAGGACAGCTCGTGCAGGATTAGTCATGATAGGAAAAGGACATTTTTTTACATTTCTTTTGTACACACTTATTGTTATTCAATGCACATTTTTTTTCACACCTCATTCTTAGTATTTTCATCTGTTTCAATTTTTTTTGATGATTACAAAGGGGGAGATAGAAAAGAAATTAATCAAATATGTGTTAATGATTGAATAAAAAGTAAGGGATAATCGAGTAAGGGGAAAATCATACACTCAGGGATTATGTTTAATGAATAACATAATAAACAACAGGGTTACAACTAAAATCGAGCACTTCAAGTTCAAGTTCAAGTCTTCAAGTTTTTGTCTCAAGTTTCCAAGGTTTATTTGAAACAATTTTGATTAATTATATTTGTCATCATTAAAAAGGGGGAGATTGTTAAGTCAGACGAAGAAATTCCCAAAAAGGTTTTAAGTGAGACAAATATAATATATGTTGTTATCTTTAACAAGTGAGTTAGTGTTTCAGAAAGACATAAGAACAGGTAAAATGACGAAGAGGCATAAGCATCAGACGCTACAAAATGAAAGGCCAACATAAGCACTCAACAAGCCAAAAAAGGAACAAGACCATGTCAAGCACAATCTAAGGCAGCACATAAAGACTCAGACAGAAGATGGTCAAATGACCAAGAAGAAACTCCAGAAGAAATGGAAAGTCTGACCATATACAAGGTTGACCAAGACGAAAGGAAAAGTGAAAACGCTAATGATTAGACAAAGGTCGAAGTATTAAATATCGACTACTAGACGCAGACAAAGAATGTCACGCAATCATCTGAGAAATCAAGCCTCAAAGGAGAATTTGAATATCGTCTACACTCATAGAAGAACACATGAAGTCATTCGAATTATTAGAAGAGAAGAAGAAATAAGAAGATCATGCTCAAACACTAAATCATGCATATGTCAGAAAAAGTACATCACTTTTTCAGGCAAGGACAAAAGTTCCACAGCTATAGGATAAAAAAAGGACAAACAGTTTCCTAGGACTCTGCTTTATTCAGACACAGCTACTAACAGAGTAAGGAAACTTCACGCATTGTCTATAAACGAGAAGCAACATTTAATGCACGAATCTGAGAATTAAATGAAAGGATCAAACTAGTCGTGAACGACTATATCAACTTCAACGGAAATATGCAACGGGAAGCTCCGCGTTAATGGACATATTCAAAATCAAGTAACGGGAAGATCTCCACTAGACCATATATATATATCACTATCTCAAACCTTAAGAGGTTGGCTTTTTTATCGGAAGAAAAAGAGTGATATCAAGCCCACGAGACAGAGACCAGAGATGAGCATACATAGTCATATGTACAATGTTATATTGTATTTTTATCTCTATAGACTAGGGTGTTCGAAATGTCGGTGATGGACTAACCCTTAGTGAGTTTTGTAAACTTATGTATCCTATCCATGAGAGTAGCCCACACACTTAAAATCTCTGTAAAACTAAGGTAGCAAACCTTAGTGAGTGTAGGAAATTTCCCAATCCTCTCTGTGAGAGTTATGTATACACTCAAAGCAAAACTCTCTAGCCAACATCGCAAAGCCTAAAGAGGCTAGGAAAAGAATACTTGTAAAGCCCGGAGGGGCTTGCCAAAGAATACTCACTTCTAGCCAGAAGTGGCTGATAAGAAAATACTAGCATTGGTGAGTGAAGCTGACAGGCCAGGAGTGGTCGAGAATACTTGGAGAACTAGAAGTGGTTTACGAATACTAGCGCTGGTGAGTGAAGTTGGCAGGCTAGGAGTGGTCGAGAATACTTGGAGAACCATAAGTGGTTAAAGAATACTAGCGTTGGTGCACTAGTGCAAAAATTAGTTTTAAAATCGGGATTTTAAGATCGGTTAAAAGATGACTGATCTTAAAAGTCACGCGGTGGCAACACTACTACAAGATGCATATTCTACATTGGTTATCTAAAGTCATCTACATCGGTTCTAAAACCGATGTAGGATAGAGCGACGTAGAAAATGTATACATTTTTACATCGGTTTTCTTGAGAACCGATGTAGATTGCATTTTAAAAAAAATCATGCTTATTTTTGGATTATTTCTGATTACCTGTAACAAACATATATATAGCTACCACACAAGTATAAACCCTCTGAGCATATTTTCCTTAATCTTTCCAATATATATAATTCTCAGCCAGGAATTTACAGCTACCACACAAGTATAAACAATCACATAAACTAAATATACACAAGTATAAATACAATAAATAAGGAATTTCCAATATATTCTTCCTCTAAAAGCATGAAACTATGTTGAAGATTTAGCCATTTGGATGTTTGATAATATGTAATGATGTATGTGAGAAAACCCATGTGCATCAAAAGTGGACAATACTAACATGAAAAATTCTAATCACACCACTTTATATCTATTAGTTATGCCTAAATTACCAAAATTAAATGAACTCCTAAGAAATTTAAAGCAAAGACACAGTCTCCAGTTTGACTGGAATTGGGTTCACTAAATTTCGTGTTTCGCATATTGCATATGCCTAAGCATTGTAACTTTCGGTTTCTGGGGATAGTTAGATAGAGCATATTAGGATTTAATTTATATGATTTAAGCTAACCTCAAGTCCAACATTTTTTACAAGTTCACGAACTTCATGTTTCCTCCCTTCATGAACCTGTGTGAGTCCAAATTAAATGAAGCAAACAAATGTCAGTTGTACTTTCTTCATGATCATGTTGATCATATAAGTCCCGTGCCCTAAAAAGTAGATAGAGAAAATTCAACAAACTAAAATGAAGCCATTTTGAGATAATGAGGATGTCAATATCCTACATTATTGATTACTTTGATAAGTTTCTATAAGATGAGCACAAATTAAATCATTCAGTATTATCCAACTAAAACATATTCTACTTACGAGCAAGACTACAACCAGCGACGTTCATAATTTTATATTTCTTTTTAGATAGAGAAATCCAATTATGTTTCCAGACTCTCCTAAGATTGATCCAAAGTAGCATTATTTGAAACAAAGTCAATAGGTCCATACCTATGCTATACCACACATCCTACAAAACTAAAAAAATGCATTAAAAAGGCAACTTTGTCAACCTTACACACCAAATTTACAACTTGTATTGGGCAATGTAACTGATATAGCAGACAAAAATAGATAAATTTACCACAATGCGAAGACGAGCTCTTTGCATATCTGGCTGACGTGGAAGTAACTCCACAACATCAGGTACACAATGGACACCATCAATGGGTGTTCTCAACTAATTCTCCTTCAATGTCTTTTGTACACTCCTTGAGCAACTCAAGTACCTGCACAAACATTAGTTGATCAGCATACAACTTTCCGATACAGAAAAAAAGATTGAAAAGTGTTTCATTGTATTTTATTTTTCAAATATACATGCCTCTTCAATCATGGGGAGGAATTCAACAGTAGGTTGGAATTAATTGACTTGAATACCCTATAATTTCAAAAGATTATAAATCAAAATTGAGGCACATTAAATCATCTTTGATTAAACTTTTCCATAAGCACTTCTAGAAGAAGAACAAATAAAATAAGTTCTCATAAGCTAAAATTAACTTCTCCACAAGTTAAAAATTAGCTTTTAAGGGAGATAATATCAGAAAGCTTGTAAGAATTAAGTTATACATAAGATAATTTTAGTTTCAAAAAGTTTATCAACGCATACCCTTAGACATATATTCAGAAACATATGTCACTTAAAAACATTGAAACTAGTACCTGTTTGTCAGCAGAACAAATGCACTCTGGGTGATTATCAGAATTAGATTGTCTACGAGGACAAATAATGTCCATCCCATGACTACCAACATAATAGAGCTCTGTTACTCCAACAAATTCACAATAAGCACACCCTTAGTGACTTCATGAAACACGAAAAGTAGATAATAGTAAAAATGGAATGGTCCATTTAACAGGTGTACTCCACACCCATCACCATTGCCATTGAATTCAGAACAATATACCAGCAGTAAATACTAAAAATCATCAAGAATAAAATCATCACAGTGACATTGCTGGTAGTCATAATTAGAAATACTTATTGCTGGAAAAAAAAATACTTATTGCTGGTAGTCATAATTAGAAATACAACATGATAGAAATAATGTGTAAAAAAAAATGATAAAGGTAATATTGAAAGTTAAAAAATAAAAAAATTAATACAATGTCTAGAATATCTGCACAACTCACAGTCTCGGGCTCGCAAAAATTCTACATGCATATTCAACGAATACGGTTCACATGAGCAAAGGGCTCAGTGTCAGATTTAGGCACTGGTTTGGAAGCCTGTGGCGTTCCAAAAACATTCCAAAATCTCAGCGTCTCATCCCCTGCTGTAGAGGCCATAGTACACCCATGTGGACTTTGCGCCATGAACAACACCCTGGAGGTATGACCCTTGAGCTCTGCCATCTTCACCATTGAAGGGTATTTCCAAAGAGAGAGCTGGTCCTGGGTGAAACCATGCGAGCTAAGCAACTCACGCTCATTCTTGTTCCACAGCAAAGCGCACACCTGCGAGCCTGTGTCAACAGAGTTCAATTTCAATGTAATCAACCAATAAAGATCTACACAGTCAACCATTCAAAATTCACCCCCAAAATGGATAAATTTTAAAACCGTAAAACATTTACCATCCTAGAAGCAACAGCATCCCAGAGCTGGACGTGAGAATTGTTCAAACCAATGGCTAAATCGCGCCCATTAGGAGCCCAGGAAACGCTAGTAACGGGACCATCTTCCTCATCCATGGTAACAAGTTTCGCCGTCGAGCAATTAGCGGCATTCCATAGATACACGATGTTTCCAAGGGCAATACTGAGCACATTTCTGCTTCCCCAGTCCAACAGGTTCAAGTAAAAGTCATATAGTATATCAGGAGCATCCAAAGTCCTCTCAGAACTCTAACAACCATTTCCACAAACAGTAAGAACACAATTTCAACTTTCATAACATCTAACAAATAAACACATAATTTCGAATTCCAAATTTAACTAACATACATGAGGAATGTAACGCCTGGGCTTAGAGGATTTGGAAGGAGAAGGAGGCAAAAGGATGGAGTTGGGAATGAGTTCAACCGGAGTCGGGGGTTTGTTCTTGAAGGCCAAGATTCGAGTTCTGTTCATGTTGAAAGCCTCAGCGATTTGCTTCAAGTAGGCTTCTCGCGACGGTGATGTCACCTCGGGGTTCTCTTTCTCCTTTCCCTTCTTGTTACCCTCCGTCAGCATGTAGTGAGCGTAATCGAAGTCCATCGCATACCTATTAGGGATGAACCTGTCCTCGAACGGCGATGTCGGCGGTGGCGGCGTTGGGGGCGAGGTCGGAGGAGAGCATCAGGTTTAGGGTTTGGGGTGATGTGGCGGAGGAAGGCGAGGGAGTTGGAGGGGGAGGCAGCGACGACGGCGTAGGAGTGGAGGAGGGAGTTGGGGAAGCGGGGGTCGGAGGAGGAGGAGGGGGAGGTGGCGATGGAATCGAAGAGGAAGAAAGTTTGGGGATTTGAAGAGATGGGGAAGGGGTTGCTGATGAGTGAAACGAAAAAATTAGGGTTTTATTTCTACATCGGTCATAAGCAAAACCGATGTAGAACAACTCTCGGATTTCATTTCTACATCGGTCATAAAAAAACTGATGTAAATATGTTTATATTTTCTATTTATTTACAAGTTTGCCACCGCGTTTATGATTTATATCAGTTCTACTAGAACCGATGTAAATATGGCGATGTTAAATAGTGTTTTTGTAGTAGTGCAATTTTGTAAATAATGTGAACACTTTTAAGATCGCTTATATTTTAACCAATCTTAAAAGTACTTTTAAGATTGGTTATTTTATGACCGATCTTAAAAGGTATGTCTGACATAACTTTTAAGATCGGTTACAAAAGAACCGATCTTAAAAATTGTATCAGACATGTCGCCACCCGCCGAAACGGACCTTGGCAATCGCGATGGATTGATCTAATCAATTCAAATGTTACTCCTAGGCCTAAATATAAATTGCACCTTTTAGGTCTAAGAAAATACAAGAGGAAAAAAAAAAAAGGTTCCTACACTACTTGACCCACAATTCAAGGCCCAAAACAACTATACTACATGGCTCAGAATACAAGACTTAATCTTTATCTCTCTTTCTAATAAGACTTATGTTGGGCTCAAGAGTCCAAACTCAAAGACTCATCTCAAACTCAGCTTATTTTTATTTTATTCTATTTATTGAAAAAATCCTTTATTTATATTATAAACTCAAATTAATTATTTAAACTTATATTGTAAATAATATTAAAAAATTATTTTATCTTTATTTTCAAAAAATTGGATGTTACAAGTAGTTCAACCTTGCTTAACATCAATCTCTCATATCTCCATCTTGTTATCACTATTAGCAAGGACTTACTCTTGCTTACTGTAAAACCCACAAGATCTCACTCAAGCTTTCTTTCTTACCATAGGTTCTCTACACTTAATGTCGATGATACAAAAATCTTTATGAAATAGGTTTTTCTACGTAATAATGTTCCTATATATCCATTCTTTATACATAATAATCCTATAGTTTCTTAAGAACATTTGACCACAATTTTAGTCAATTATGGCTTCCTAAGTGATGGAATTCTCTTGGAGAAGTCATGGTTGAATTCCTTTAAGATCATTCCATGCTCCTTAGGTTCCCTTCCAAAGATCCAAATCACCTGAAGAAATTAGAAAATGATGGAGAAGTTATGAAAGGAGGCATGCCACCTTCCAAGGGAGGATGAGCAAGATTGATGCACTTGCCATAAGGAAAGTTTTTTTTTTTTTGATGAAAGTGCTTAAGGAGAGAAATTCTCCTAAGAGACTTTTGAGAGATATTTGGGAGAGAATTTCAGAAAATCAATTCTCATTGCAATCAAAAGTGGCAGAATACAATGGAGTAAGACCTTAAATGGATCTTGGAAACTTACGGAGCAAGCTAAGTTAACCTAGGTTAAGACTTAACCAAGGTAGCTTAACCTTGGGTGAGCTCGGTGCCAATTTGAATTTGAAATTCAAATTTGGCTGGTCCTAAAACTCACTCCATGATGACATCATGCCAAGTCCTAAAGGAGTCAAGAGAAGTGTGGTAGGCTTAAAAGAAATAAGGTTTAAGCTCTTATTGAACTTTGGATTATTTTTAGTAACTTTCTCTTCTTTATTATATTTTCTTGATTTTTGACCTTGTATTTTAGGCTAAGTAGTGCGGGAATTTATTTCCTTATAATTAGTATTTTTAGAGTACAATTAGTATTTTGGGAGAGGTGTAACTAGAAAAAGGTATTTTGGACTTATTGAGCTTGATTGACCCATGAGAACATTTCTTGGATGCATAGCCTTTAAAGTTGACATCCACTTGGTGAAGAACAAGTGGTGGACGTGCACTTGAGAGGAAACCAATTGGTTAGATGTCAACATCAAAGGGAGGGGGGAACAAGATGTCTCATGGTTCATTCAACACTCTAACAAATCACATGACCTTATCTAGTTACACCTTTGATATCTTGACATGTGACAAGCTCTCATTGGTTCTTTTAGTCTTAGGATAGTGACATTCCAAACATGTAACTATAGTTGGTTAGCTTGAGTATTGTTGAGATGATGGAGATCATTTAGATGACTTGAAGACTCCTCAAGAAATTTTAGTTTTGATGATGTTTATGTATAGAAGGTGTTTGAGCCTATGCAAAAGGATATTGTATTGATTGTAATAGATATAGACTTGTGTGTGTTTGTTTATGATTGATGATGATAATGAATGCATAATTCAAGAACTAATCAAGTTTTTTAAAAAACCAAGAATTTGTTTTTTTAGTATTTCCATGAATAAACATAAAGTAATAGATTATCTTGAAAAGGATAATTTACTACCAAGTGTTTAAACATAGAAATATGACTTGATTCAAACAAGAGTTTTCAAGGTAATTTTGTTAATCAATTACCATTCAGGGTAATAGATTACCAAATCTGTTACTATAAAAGAATATTTAAATGTCCTTTGTGTTAATAGATTACCATGTCTGTTACTAGAAAATGTTTTTCAAGTACTCTCTGAGGTAACAGATTACCAAAGTTGGTAATAGATTAAAACAAATTCTCTTGCTTGAAACAAGGCTGAAGAATCAAAATTTTCATCGTATTAATCGATTACCACAAGAGATAATCGATTATCACATAATGAAAGGTAATCCTGGATCTTAGAAAGCTCGGGATAATCGATTACCATATCCCGTAATCGATTACCCTAGAGATATTTGTGTTTCTGGTTCATTTTAAAGAGATGGTAATAGATTACCATATCAGGTAATAAATTACCTCTGTTATTACTCTTTATAACTGAATCACATCTTTCACTTTATAAAATCTATCCTTTTGAAATTAAAAAGAGAACTTTTTTAAGAATTTTTGAAAATCTTTTGAAAGAAAAACATTTGAGAAAAAAGATTTCTTTCAGAAACAAGATTCAAGGCTTATCAAAGAATTTTTCTGAAATTTCAAGAAGTGCAAAGATAGAACATGAGTTATTGAAAGAAGGAATTCAAGAAATGTATTCAAGAGTGAAAGGTCAATATTTACACGAAATTAGGTGATATCTTTTTGATCTTTAAACTTGTATTTTCGTTTTGATTGGTGTATCTCTTGAGATAGGGTGTCTCAACAAGAGATGTTGAAATCTTGAGTAGCGTTTCTCAAGTAATTTCTATGGGGTACAAAAATTTTGTTTGTTTTCAATCTTGTGGTGTCAAGATTGATGTTTGTTTGAATTCTTGTAATATTGTGTATGCAAGGTGTTTGTAAACAATATTATAGTAAATTATTTTTGATTTAGTGGGGTGCTAAATCAGGGAAAACTGGATGTAGGCCAAGTGGATGGCTGAACCAGTATAAATTTCTGTGTTCTTTATCTTTTTACCCTTATCTTTAAAGAATCTTGTTAATTTCTTGTTTAAAGGTTTTAAAGATTTTAAAGATTTCTGAGATATGAAATTTCAATTGTAGTACTAACTCTGATCATTATTCTTGTAATTGAAATTGATTAAAAAGAAGGTAATATTAAAATCAACCTTGGTTACAAGTGATTGTTTCGCTGCATTAACTTTGATATTCTGATACGTTGGTAATAAACCTTGTAATCTATTGTTCTTTGTTAATTCAAATTGAGTGAAGGTTGAATTTTAGATATCTTGGTAGGTCTTTATCAAGAATTATCGAAAAGTGAGTCATCTTAGGATAGAATCTATTCAACCCCCTATTCTAGATTCTAGTAAACTGAGACCAACAAGTACAAGTTAACTAACATTGGTTATACTTAACCAAGGTTAGAGTCTAGCTTGCACCATAAGCCAACCAAACTCTATATATACCTTTCTATCATATGTACATGCCATTTCTGAGCATTTTATGAGAAATAACATTGAGTTTTATTTTCCAAAATTCTAGTTCTCTCTCTTGGGAAAAATTACCTCCTTATGAACTTTTATCAAGGAATTCTTCCTTGTTGCAAGTTCTTCACATTTCTTGCTTATCTTCCTTGATGTGAGGCGCCTCTCTTCTACTCTCCTCCACCATTTGTAGATTTCTTTTGAGTTTTAAGATCCATGGAAGAAGATTGAGAGCAAATTAAAAGCTAGTTGAAGAGACACATCAACCATCTCCAAACTAGTTTCATCACTAATGAAAACCATTGGAGAGATGGTTGGTGAGTCCCTCCACTAGTCTCCATGTTGTGTCCAGTCTTCTTCCATGACTGAACAAGCTTTAGGAAAAACCAAAAATGGTGAAAAAAGGGAGAATATGGTATGCCACTTTCTATGGAGAAAGATAAGCAAGAAGTGTTAATCTTGCCACAAGGAGGAATTTCTTGATAAAAAATCTTAAGGAGAGATTTCTCCAAGGAAGAGAACTAAAATTTTTAGAAGAGAAAATCAAAGGTTTATTCTCATTTACATCCAAAAGTGATTCGGCCAAGGTACAAGGATACAAATATATCGAGTTTAGTTGGCTTATAGTGCAAGGTAGAATAAAAATGGTTAAGTGTAACTATGGTTAGCTATCTTCTACTTAAGCTAACCAACCCTAGTTAATTTTTTAGAAGCTTATGGAGCAAGCTAAGTTAATCCTAGTAAAATATAACCTACCAGTTAACTCTAACTACCTTGCCTAATCATCACAACTATCAAACTAATGATTACATTTAACAAGTTATTGAGATGACACTATTAAAGCCATGTAACTTAATTTGTAACTTGGATGACAAGCTTAGCTTGGTTTTGACGTTCAAACCACTTGCATAAGCAAGTAGACGTCCAATCCAAATGCATCAAAAGATGTTTGGGTTATCCAAGCTCAAATAAGTCTAACAACACTTAGCTAGTTACACCTCTTCTAATTTACTAATTACACCCTTGAGTAAAAATAATAGAAAGACAAAATTACCTACACTACTTGAACCAAAATACAAGGTCAAAATAA